TTATAGGGTTTGGGGGTTTAGGGTTAGGGTTTATAGTTGTTGAGGCAAAAACATGCTGAGACCTACATCAGAAGCCTCATTCAACTGTGAGGCAAAATGACATGTGTCAAGCAAGCCCATCTGCACGGGCCCTACAGTGCGAAACACTGCCTTCAGGGTATACAGTGCTTCGTTACAATCACACTTATAAGAGCTTATCCTTTCCTTAAGTTACTGTAAGATTTGATGACGAATTCAACAGTTGTGAGAAACCAAAACATGGTAGTCAGCCCTTGCCAAGATGCGAGGTCCATTCACGCGCAGCCGTTGGCGAAAGAAGTTCAAGCCTCTTCTTGCGAATTCAGCAGACCCTATGATTAAAAGAACTATGCATCTATTTTAGCACTCAGCTAATAGGAGATATCCCAAAACCCCAATTCTTCATGCCCGTATACATTCCAGTGGAGGCAGTATGGGCATGCCTTGATGCCTTGCTGCGCAAAAGCCCCGCTGTCGTACTAGCATGGCGCCTTTGGACGGAGGACACGGAGCACAGGGAGCAAAGCTGTCTTTTAGGAGTGTCCACAACAAAACCAAAATAGTGTACAGTAGTGTTCGGTTCGAAGACAATGTGACGAGCTTTGGTAGTTGTGCCGTCGTTGGTAAGATGCGGAAACGAGAGTGGGAGTCAGGGTCAGAGTAAGTATGGGTATAAGCAATTCCTAAACCCTACATCTTGTGAGCCCTGAACCCGAATGTAGAGCCCTGACTAGTAAACATTCCTTCCTCAATTGGACTAGACTCGCAATTTTAGATTAAAAAAGATGGGTGCATGCAGCTCTGCCAGCGACAGCAGTGTTTACACTCACAAGTTGCAACGGTGACTGAAATGCCGGGTGAGATCTACCCGCATGTAAACCAAACTATCGGATTGCACAGACCATGCAAACCCTAAAAAGCCTAAATCCTGTCAAACCTGAATCAGAGTGTGCTGGTCAGGAACACCGGCGAATGAAACGCTTTCCGTTGCCTCGGAGAGGAAGCTACGACATCGCGTATTGATGTAAATGTAATGTGTAGGATGAGAAATCTGGCTCATGAAGCCCCGATTTCATACAACATGCTGCGCAACCTGCAGTGTAGCATGTAGCGGCAGAAGACGGGACATCGAACTTCCGATACAGCGTAACTGCACAGACTGCACCGTTAATTAACTTGGAGACGGGTCACCCATAATATGCACGCATGATACGCATGTGTGTGTATGTATGTTCATCGACACACAGACATAAACATGCTATTTCGTCTCAACATGTGCGCAACCAGGAAGCAAGGGAAGTGGGCACTAAAACCAACACGTCTGCTTCATTCTAGTACTGCAAGCCATAAGCATGCGGGTTTCTTCCAGAATGATACCCCTGACTCAACTAATGTTCTTGTTGTAGGGCTCACGGTTGGAAGGTTAGGAAGTTGGGTTACTTGAATCCCTACCAGCTCCAAGCCGACAGCATGTCGCGAACGTCACGAACTACGAAGCAGTGGGAAGGTACCCAGAAGCGTTGGAAGAATACCCCTCCCCCCCATGAACCGATGGAGCCGGAAGGCTGTAACCAAAAGTCCTTCAAGGCACAGAAATTCACCTCACACAGCACCTCAAGCCTAGTTCGTCCTAAGCTGCGACAGGTGGGTTTGCCCTGTTGCGCACTGAGAGCTATGTGCAGTCCCTGCCGGCCGGCTTTTAGGCAAAATCGCCTCGAAAAACAGCACAGAACAAGAATGCAATGTTCTGCTGACTGCCAAGATACCGTTGAAATGTAGCGCCACCTGCCGTAGCAGACGCTGTAGCAGTCAAAGCGAGGACGATTCATGTCTGCAGCTGTGATTACCGGGTCGTGCATTCTAAACAAGACGTTGGCCCAGCAGGGAAGCGCACCAGGACCTGCATGTTCTGAAAGATAGATCATCTCACCGTACTGGGCCGAACATTCAATCGTAGACCATAGTCCCTGAGCCTCGCAAGGTACCCCTGTGCCCCCAAACCTTCCAATATCCCTAAATCAATCAATATATATACCTATCTCTCTCTCTCTCTATATATATATATATATACACACACCTTTAACTATAATAGGATCCCTAATCTGATTCAAGGTAATTAGATTCCTTAATTACAGGATGTTGAAAGGTCTGGGTGCCCTAAACCCTAAACCCCTAAACCGAAACCCCTAAACCCAAAACCCCTCAAGCCTAAACCCCTAAACCCT